AGATAGATAGATAGATAGATAGATAGATAGATAGATAGATAGATAGAGATAGATAGATAGATAGATAGATAGAGTGATAGAGTGATAGATAGAGTGATAGATGGATGGATGGATAGATAGATAGATAGATAGATAGATAGATAGATAGATAGATAGAGTGAGTGAGTGAGTGAGTGAGTGAGTGAGTGAGTGGTAGAATGACAGATAGATGGATGGATGGATGGATAGATAGATAGAAAGAATGATAGAGATATTATAGAGAGGAAAAGGGAAAGATGGATAGAAAATAGAAGATAGATAGATAAACAGAATAACTTTATTTTCACTTTAAATGTACACTAACCAGCATACATTAAAATGAAATTTTGTGGCGTACAGCTCCCAAAGGGTCACCACTTCCAATATACACTCCATAACCACATGACAGAATAAATACAAAAATTATTTATATATCCATATATAGTATGCGACAGAGAGAAACAATACAGTCTAGTTCAGATGTAGACATGTACATGGTGAGAAAAATGAATCTTGCAAGTTTACCAGGTGGAGGGATGGCCTAGGGAAAAAAAGGCTGTTCCAGAATCTGGATGTCCTGCTAGAAATACTTTGAAACCTCCTCCCAGAGGGGAGCAACAGAACCAGACCCTGAAGCGGGTGTGTGGGATTCTCGTAACAACTGTATGGCTAATTGAACAACCCGCAGCATTCACTTCGCAACAGTTCTCAGAAAGGCCGTTAAAATGGGGCAAAACTCACTGAAGATGTGCCTCACGTAGCGACGTAAATTTGGGGCTGTCGTAAAGTCGAGGGCGGCCTGAATCGAGAACTGGTGTCTCATCCAACGCTTTCTTTGTGTCATCCGATCCCCGAGCAGCCGACGAAGACGAGGATAAAGATGACGACTTCCGAGCTCCGCTCTATAAGAACGTGGAGATCAGAGGCATCCAAGTTCGGATGAAATGGTGCGCCACCTGCCACTTCTACCGCCCTCCGCGTTGCTCCCACTGCAGCGTTTGCGACAACTGCGTTGAGGTAAGGACACGCACGACAGAGGGACAGGGACTTGCTGTCGAGATATAGCTAAACGCGATCCCTCGAGTATTGATTTTGTAGCAAAGGCAATAGAATTGAACAGAGTCGGAAGGGACCTGGTAGGTCATCTAGTCCAACCCCCTGCCCAAGCAGGAGACTGTAAACCATTTCTGACAAATGGCAGTCCAGTCTCTTCTTGAAAGCTTCCTGGGATGAAGCTCCCACAACTTCCGAAGGCAACTTCTGTCCCATTGATGGATTGTTCTCACTGTCAGAAAATTCCTCCTTATTTCCAGGTGGAATCTCTCCTTGATCAGCTTCCATCCATTATTCCTTGTCTGGCCTTTGGGTGCCTTGGAGAATAGCTTGACCCCCTTCCTCCTCTCTGTGGCAGCCCCTCAAATATTGGAAAACTGCTATCCTGTCTCCCCTGGTCCTTCTCTTCACTAGCCATGCCCAATTTCTGCAACTGTTCATCATATGTTTTAGCTTCCAGTCCCTTCATCATCCTGGTTGCTGCATTCTTTCTAAAGCAGCCAGACCAAAATGACCCTGCAAATGCACAGATATCTTATTCTGAAGCGAGGGACTTCTCTCCTTTTTCTTCACCTGGCGCCTTCCAAGTCTCTTTCCCCTTGCGAGACGATTTGGGCCGCCTTGGCAGAGGAACAAATGTCTTTTAAAAACCCTTTCCTGATGTCGTGGGTTGGGCAGTTAAAACAGGAGATGAGAATCCAACTCTGGGCAGAGAAATTCATTAAAAGGAGTTGGCCAGAGCAGAAGGTAAAACGCACTCCTCTTCATTAGAGGGATGGCTGGGGTGAAGGTTAGCGAGGAGAATTTATTGGCCGAGAAGACAAAAGGATTTTATGCCATGGTTGTAATAGTGTTTTATTGAGCAGGAGGTTTATTGCCAGGACATAACCACCCCTGGAAAGAAAGAAGCATTGAGAAACTAAAGGCAGGAGGAAAGAGAAAAGGAGAGGAAAAAAAAAAAACTTTCCACCTTTCTATTTTATTTTATTTTTTTGAAGGACCTCACCAGCTCCGTCCAGATAATGATCTTCGTAGTCTTTCTTTTTTTCAACCTTCGTTCCCTCGACTTGCTTTTGAAGCGCTTTCAAGTAGCCGTTTTGACCCCTTTTAAGTAGCATCGGTCATCCTCATCTTTTAATGACCCCATAATCCCTTGCGGGGTGGAGTCTGGGCAACAAAATGGAGCTAGCAGAAAGTTTTGATGGCCGGATGCCCTTCCTGTTGCCAATGCGGAGTTTTGTTCAGCTTATAAATTCTCATTGTGCCCAGAGAGAGAAATACCTGCCTCTACCTAGGTTCGAACTCACAGCCTCCTGACTGTGAGGTGAGAGCTCCACCTCTAGGCCACGGCACCACTCCTTTTAGTGGATAGTGGACACTGCAAAACTAAAAACCTGGAGTTGTGGTGGCATACAGTCCGGATTCTCAGGAGGGTGAAGAGACAGTCAAGTTTAGATCGTTTGGTCAGGTGAAACAGAGCTAAAAAGGCTCCTTCCTAACAATTCTCCAAGTAAATCTATCGTGATGTAAACAGTTGCTTTAGTTTGGCAAGATTCTGTCTATAGGTGAGGAACAATAAAAGGCCTTGCTCAGAAGTAAACTCCATGGGTCTTTCCTGGTTCTTGGAGGCCTGACAAGCTGACAGTGTTTTCTATTTTTACGTTTCCCGTTATTCTTTTTATTTTTATTATACGTTCCCCGTTATTCTTGAGTTAACACCCTGTATGTACTCCAAGTTATGCCTGCATTGTTACACCGTCTCTCCTGTTGTCTCACCAGGATTTTGATCATCACTGCCCTTGGGTTAATAACTGTATCGGAAGACGAAACTACCGCTATTTTTTCCTTTTCTTGCTGTCTTTAAGTGCCCACATGGTCGGCGTGTTCACCTTCGGGCTTATCTATGTCTTGCACCATGCTGAAAAAGTGGGCGTGGCCCATACTGCCGTAACGTATCCTCCTTTTGGGGTCCTCTTGGGTTGAACCCCCGTGATTCTTCCTACCGTCCTCCAGTGCCCGTGGCACAATAATTTGCAGGGTTTCCTTAATGCCAGCATCCAGGATGACAGTCATGTGTATCGCTGGGCTGTTCTTCATTCCAGTGATTGGCTTGACTGCTTTCCACATCGTTTTGGTGGCCCGAGGACGCACAACCAACGAGCAGGTAAGACGGCTTTGTATCTGTCCTCTTACTCCTGGGATTATTTGCTATTCCAAAACTATCGTTATTAATCCTTCCATCCTTCCTTTCACCCATCTCCTCCCACTTATGACTGTATGGCTGTAATTTTGTTGCTTGTATCCTAACGATTTATATTGACTGTTTCCTAGTATGATTTGATTGCTTCTCGTACCCTAGGACTATCATTAAGTGTTGTACCTGATGATTCTTGACTCTTGATGAATGTATCTTTTCTTTCATGTACACTGAGAGCATTTGCACCAAGACAAATTCCTTGTGTGTCCAATCACACTTGGCCAATAAAGAGTTCTATTCTATTCTATTCTTTATTCCCTATTCTTTTCTATTCTATTCCATTCCATCCCATCCCATCCCATCCCATCCCATTCTCCTTCCTCCTTCCCCCAATTCTATCCTACCCTACCCTACCCTATTCTATTCTATTCTATTTCTTGCCCCACCAGAGCAGTTGACCATTCATGTAGTCCTCGGCTTTACGACAACTGATTAAAAATCATGGGTTGTCAACGTATTAGAATTCTTTATTGGCCAAGTCTGTTTGGACACGCCAGGAATTTGTCACACAAGGAACTTGTGATTGGACACACAAGGGATTACTTACAGGTAGTCCTTGAGTTATGACCAAAACTGAGCCCAACATTTCTGTGGCTAAGCGAGACATTTGTTAAGCGGGTTTCGGCCCATTTTACGTCTTCTCCTTGCCTGATTTGTTAAGTGTCTCTCTGTGATTGTTATGTCGGTCACACGGTTGTTAAGTGAATCCAGCTTCCCCATTGACTTCATTGGCCAGAAGATCACGAAGGGAATCACGCACTCCTGGGATACTGCAAACCATCATAAATATGAGTCAGTTGCCAAGCGCCTGAATTTTGCGGGTGCTGCCATGGTCATAAGTGTGAAAAATGCTCTCTCCTAAGTCATTTTTTTTTCAGTCCATTCATTGTAACTTTGAACGGTCACTAAATGAACTATTGTAAGTCAAGGACTCCCTGTAGTAGTAGTAGTAGTAGTAGTAGTAGTAGTAGTAGTAATAATAATAATAATAATAATAATAATGCATAACAAGGGGTTGTCAGCCTTACCAGATGGACCAAAGAGCAAATACAATCAGATCAGCTAATTTTATTTTATTATATAGCTAATTGACAGAACCTTGCAAACCTGAAGGTACAGGTAGTCCTCAACTTACAACAGTTCATTTAGTGACCATTCAAAGTTACAGTGAACGGACTGAAAAAAATTGACTTAGGACCCCTTTTCACACTTAGAACCGTTGCAGCATCCCCCGTGGTCACATGGTCAAGATTCAGGTCTTCCTCGGGCGAATGGGAGCTTTCCTTCCTTTTCCAAACTGCCCTCTTTGCTTTTAATTCCAGGTGACGGGTAAGTTCCGTGGAGGAGTCAATCCTTTTACTCAAGGATGCTGCGGGAACGTGGAACATGTCCTCTGCAGCCCCCTGGCTCCTAGGTGAGATCTAAGGAGAAACACAGAAGATTGGTCCTTAACCAACGCTGGGTTTGTGGGGATGAGAGGTTGGGGACGGGACAAGCTGGTCTCCACTGATTTACGGATTATATTTTGAATCTGTAGAAATGATAGATGATAACCTCTGCCTTGGGCACCTTCGCGTATTAACATAGAATAGAGTGGAATGGAATAGAATACATTTTATTGTGTGATGACCCAGGGTGGGATACAAAATAAACACAGGCACAAAAACAGGTGAAGCCCCTTTTGTTCCTTCACTTTGCTTCAAAGCTCCAAATATCCCTGACTGGAGACAAAAAAACTCCCCCACAAGCAGTTACGAAAAGGAGGAAATGCTGTTTAAACTAAAAATGCCTATAAATTATAAAGAGTAAAAACAACACAAACCACACTGAAGCAATAAGGGAACCAGGCAAGATAAGGGCTTGAAGATGTCCACAGATATCGGAACACACACTAGAAAGGACGCCAAACTCGGAGAGGAATGACAGACTAGAGATATTTCCATGCTTTGTTTCCAGCACTGGCCCATACGCATGTCCGTCCTTTTAACCAGTTCTCACAGCTGCAGCCCATGAAGGGGATCAAGGCCCTTTCCTCCTCCATAGACCATGCCATTCACGTCTCTCCCTTATCCTCTCCTCCCTGCGTGCCCTGGGATGGAGAGGGGATGGGCCTGGGTCTTCCTATGATTGCCCAGCCAGCCTCTGCCCTTCCCCAGCCTCCTCCACAACCTCCGGAGCCACACTTCCACTCCCTGTCGGCTGTTCCTCCTTTCCGTCGGAGTCAGTCTCCAACAGGGGCATGACAATTGTCACGAATCGGTGCATATTAAAATGAAATTTCATTGCACGCAGCTCTCAAAAGAACACTGCCTCCAATATTCACTACACGAACATGACAAAATAAATAAATAAATACAAAATTATGTATATACCCACATATATTATATGACACAGAGAAACAACACCGTCTAGTTTAGATGTATACGCGTACGTGATGAGAAAAACAAATCCTGCGAGTTTATCAGACGGATGGCATAGGGAACAAAGCAGTTACAGAATGTAGTTGTGTCCTGCTAGAAATACTTTGAAACCTCCTCCCAGAGGGGAGCAACACAAACAGACCATGAACTGGGTGTGTGGGGTCTCTAACAAGGCTTTGAGCTCTAAGTACATAGCACTGATAAGCAGTGTCCTGAATAACGGGAAGCGAGCTTTCTATAATCTTCTCCACTGTCCTCACCACTCACTTTAGGGACTTTCTATCTGAGGCACTGTTGCCACCAAACTAAACAGAGATGCACTTTGTTAAAACGCTCTCAATCGTGCCCGGGTCAAAAGTAGCCAGGACAGAAGGAGAAAGAGGTGCTCTCCTCATCCGATGCAGGAAATGCAGACGTTACTATCACGTAACTTCATCACCCATCAAGCCTTTGTCTGTGGCCTTTCACACCAAAATGGCGTCCCTTCAGATGATCCATCCTTGTAGATGACCCGTTTTGCTGCTATACATTTTATTTCTTTAGAAGCAATCTTTTTTTTTTGAAAACTTTATATTAATCTTTTATAACTTTAAAGAGACAAACAACAAAAATATAAATCTTTTAACAGCAATTGTTTGTGACGTTCATCTTATACTAATATTTTGTGCATTATTTACAAATATATAAAATTTGTGCAGCTATAAATCTTTATCTACATCTTATCCTTATTTTTTACAATCTATTTATCTATCCATAAATCTATCTCTGTTCAATACCATTTTTCCCAAATCTTATAATAGTCCGATTCCTCTTTCTCTTGTAAACTCAAGGTTAATTTGTCCATCTCAGCACAGCTCATTATTTTCTGGATAATCAATTCCTCTGGTGGTAGGCATGCACGTTTCCAATACTGGGCACTCCTGGCAACCGTTAAAATATGCAATATTAAATATTTTATATTTCTCCCGTATTTCTTTTTGAATATCTCCAATAAAAACAATTCCGGTTCTAATTCTATTTGCTCACTGGTCATCTCTTGTAACCATTTTTGAATTTTTAACCAATATTTTAGAAGAACTCTTAACTTCCTCTCTTAGTAGCTTATTAATTGTTCCTTTGTGTAAGCCACTTTCAGGCATTCACCGCAGCCGGGCCATTGAGGGGGTCTGCTGCAGCACTCATGAGGTTGTATCTTTTAATGAAAAGCATCCATTTCACGATCCCATGATCTTGCAGGTACATTGTGGATCCCAAGAAGAAGGAGATGGTTAGTGTGAAGCCCCCTTTCCTGAGGCCGGATCTAAAGGAGCGACAGATCACCGTCAAAATAAGTGACAACGGTGTTCAAGCCAACCTCAACCAGAACAAGGTGAAGCCTTGAGCTATCTTCTACACAGGATCCGCCTGTACAGAGATCTGTTTCCATATTTTCCTGGTGAAAGATTTCCATAAAACTTTCCTACATTGGGGTGAATTCATAAAACATGCTATTTAAGCCTTAGGAGTTAGTTAACTTGTACTAGCTGGGTTTGTCAGGGGGTGTAGTGGCTCAGTGGCTAAGATGCTAAGCTTGTCGATCAGAAAGGTCAGTAGTTTGGTGGTTCAAATCCCTAGCGCCGCGTGACGGAGTGAGCTCCCGTTCCTTGTCCCAGCTTCTGCCAACCTAGCAGTTCGAAAACACGTAAAAATGCAAGTAGAAAAACAGGGACCACTTCGGTGGGCAGGTAAGAATATTCCATGCGCGTTCGGCATTGAGTCCTGCTGGCCACATGACCACAGAGATGTCTTCGGACAGCGCTGGCTCTTTGGCTTTGTAACGGAGATGAGCACCATCCCCTAGAGCCAGAAACGAGTAGCACAGATGTGCGAGGAGAACCTTTAGGTTTACCTTTGGCTGGGTTTGTACAACATGTTCAGCCAAAGCCAGACAAGCTAAATTATGGTCTAGCATGATAGCTGAATCCGAGTCAATCCAGGCTGAAATCAAAGCTAGTCATTTGTTTCGGGTTTCCATCGCTGCAAAGCAAAAATTCTAGGTGCCAGATTTGTGTAATTATTTGCATTTGTTTGTTTGTATCCTGCCTTTATTGTTTGTATAAATAACTCAAGGTGGCCGACATATGTAACACTCCTTCCTCCTCCTATGTTCCCCACAACAATAACCCTGTGAGGTCAGGTGGGTTCAAAGAGAGGGATTGGCCCAAAGTCATCTAGCCAGCTTTCATGGCTAAGATGCGACTAGAACTCCCAGTCTCCTGAGGATTGGCCCAAAGTTATCCAGTCAGCTTTCATGCCTAAGGCAGGACTAGAATTCCCAGTCTCCTAGTGTCTCCTGATGATTGGCTCAAAGTCACCCAGCTGCCTTTCATATTTAAGGCGGGACTGGAATTCCCAGTCTACCGGTGATTGGCTCAAAGTCACACAACTGTCTTTCATGCCTAAGCGGGGACTAGAACTCCCAGTCTCCTAGTGATTGGCCTGAAGACACCCACCTGGCTTTCACCGCTAAGGCAGGATTAGAACTCATGGTCTGGTTTCTAGCCTGATGCCTTACCCACTAGAGCAAACTGGCTCCTAGCAAAGCTTCTTAGACTTCACTAAGCAGTTTATTTGTTGAACCGCGGTTTGCTGAACAAGCCTCAACTGGAGGAGTTCAGGCAACACATTAGGCCATAAACCAGAATGAGCAAATCACAGTGGTTGTTTTCATACTCTGGCTAAACTCAAACGGAACCAAGAATGCTGCGGTTCAACACAATGGGTGAAGACCACTGTTGTCCTGTATAGTTTATAAAGACATCTGGGGAGGGGGGGAAATGCATGATTTTAAGAGTTAGAATAAACTACTCCGCAATGCTTAACTTTGTTTTGTGATTTTTTTTTTCAGTCTAAAATTAGCCTTGAAGGACTAGACGAAAATACCATGGATATACAGCCTCCACTTCCACCCAAGGGGGATTCCAGTAAATACAGTGAACTGGGAAGCACTGAAGGTACAAGATTTGATATTATCTTTTTTTAATTTCTCTGTGAATTTCCCTATTTTTCAAGTGAACTTCTGTGAATTTCTCTCTTTTAATTTCTCTCTGTGTGAATTTCCCTTTTTTTCTTTTTCTTGCACTGAAGGTGAGTTTTTGTTTCGTTTTTTAAATCAAGTGGACGTGTGGATTTCTCTCTTTTAAAATGGTGCAAAATTTACGATTTGGTTGAGCCCGTAGATGCAGAAACTATTGGATTCATAGAAACTAAGCCATAGTTTGTTTAACTACAGTTTACTGGCTAAGCCATCATCGACTGGGTCCGTATAATACCTTAAGCCATAAGCTAAGATTTGAAAAATGTGCTAGCTGGATTTACGTAGTTTGCTAAGTTGTAAATAAGCAAACAATATGAAGGGTTATGTGAAACTCAATCATGCTTTGGGCGTGTCATAAGCAATGGCTTGTTGTTGTTGTTTTTTCAGAGAGCAGCCTTTCTCCCAAGCTGATCAGCCCTCCTACACCTGCCATGTACAAATATCGCCCTGCTTTCAGCCACAACTCTAAAGTCCATTATCATGGAACATCTGAGCAGGTAAGATGGCATGGTTGTGAGTTGATTCTTAGGCTTGACCAAATGAAACAAAATGGCCAATTATAAATATTTTCTGTCTATGTAATTGCCTCTTCCTTGGGTCAAAATAAAAAATTACAGTGGAAGGATAGCAGATCGAACAGTGTTTCTCAACCAGATCTTTACATAATGTGTCTGAAAGGGACGTTGTGCTGTGCTTATGCTATGCTATGCTATTTACCAGGGGTGGGATTCAACCGGTATAACAACTAGTTCGGTGAGCGTGCACCTTTTTTCAGCTCTAATACTTACCTTCTACTGCAGCCCTTGTGAATAAAACAGCTGAGGCCAGGAGGAATCAGCTGAGCTGCAAAACGGGGAAATAACGGAGATTACTAGGGCAGGGGCAGGCGGGCGGGGCCAAATGATAATCAGAAATACCGGTTCGTCCAAACCGGTCCGAACCGGTAGAATTCCTCCCCTGGTTATTACTCCTTTCCCTCTCCAGTAATTTCCTCTCCAGCCTTTAAACATCGTTCTTTGTCCCTTTGAACAATGAGGCCACAGCACCAATGAAAAGGCCATTTTTAAGAAAGCTGTGTAATGGCTCATACATCCTTTTTCAGGGATTTGTTCCTTGGATGTGTGTGTGTGTGTGTGTGTGTGTGAGAGAGAGAGAGAGAGAGAGAGAGAGAGAGACAGACAGACAGACAGACACACACAGAGAGAGAGAGAGAGACAAACAGACGGAGAGACACACAGAGACAGACAGACAGACAGATTAGACACACACACACACACAAACAGAGACACACACAGAGAGAGACACACACACACAAACAGAGAGAGACAGAGAGAGAGACACACACAGAGACAGACAGACAGATTAGACATACACACACACACACACACACACACAAACAGAGGCACACACAGAGAGAGACACACACACACAGAGAGACAGAGAGAGACACACACAGAGACAGACAGACAGACCGATTAGACACATACACACAAACAGAGACACACACACAGAGAGAGAGACACACACACACACAGAGACAGAGAGAGAGACAGAGAGAGAGACACACACAGAGACAGACACACACACACAGACAGACACACACACACACACACACACACACACACAGAGGAGCAGAGAGAGGGAGAAAGAAATCACTTGCTTCTACTGATGTACGTGGGAATGATCTGGGAATACAGGGGAAGATAGGTTGCCTAGGGAATAATCAGATAAGAGACGACGTGGCCTTCAGCGACATAGAGAGAGCAAAGGCAGAAACTCAGAAAGGATTATCCCTAAATTATTAGGCTAAAAAAGAGACAGTGGGAGATTTGTACTTTCAGACTTGCAAGATTCTGCTAAAGTGGCCTTACAAATAAAGTTGAATTCGCTCATCTGGTCACGTTTCCTGTCTGGTTGGCCCAGGAGAGCCAACAGCAGCTCCATCGGACATTTTCTTCTTTTCTCCCAGATCTCCCTCCACGAAGGACTCAGGCAAAGCTCCTTGGCCGATGACAATGACAGCAGCCTGGATTATCAATCTGAGCCCAGCATGGAGCTCCCCAACTATCGGAAGAGTTCCCTCCACAAGACCTATCAGTCTTCTCCGCTCCAAGCTGATTCTTTTGCTGCCAACTCCAGATCCCTAAGTCTGAAAGCGGGTGGCCGGAGAGGCCCCGACAAACTGCCCCTCCATCTCATGAAATCCGAAGGGGCGACCTCCACCCCCTACAAAAGCATCTTTGCCCCCAATTCCCTCTCCAACAGGAATGGGAGCTTATCCTATGACAGCTTGCTCAACCCCATCTCCCCAGCCGGGAAGCGGTGCATTGCGCACGCCGCGGTGGGCTCCGTCGGATACCACTCGCCATATTTGTCTGCCAAAATGTGCCATCTGAGGGGCAGGGAACTCCAGCGCCCGTCTCCCCAGACCTTTAGCCCCGGGCAAGGTGGGCTGACCCAGCACCCACGAGACCCCTCCCCAGTCCGCTACGACAACCTGTCGAAAACAATTATGGCGTCCATTCAAGAAAGGAAGGAGATGGAGGAGAGGGAGAAGCTCCTGCACTCTCACCCAGACTCCGTGTTTGCAGATTCAGGGGTGTACGACACCCCAAGTTCTTACAGCCTTCAGCAAGTCAGCCTGCTCTCGGACGATCCCCGTAGCTTAGTCCTGAGATACGGCTCCAGGGACAATTTGATGCCCCACAGCAGCTTCAGTGCACGCAACCCAGCTTTGCAGACCTCTGTTTCTTCCCTCTCCAGCGCTATGACCCGAGTGTCAAGGACTTCCACACCTTCTCTCCAAGCAGACCTAGCCAATAACAACATCCAAGCCCATCAGGCGCTGCAGGGCAGGATGAGTAACGGCTCCTACAAATCACCAAGCCACCAAGTTCCTTCATCTCCAAGTGGGATCCCCCGGTCTCCCTCATACGGGGCTCCAAAATCCATCTCCTTTGTGAACACGATGGAGCTGACCGAAGCCCAGTCCATAGGCACTGCGAGGTATGGAGAGTTTTCGCGTGGCTGCAGTGGTGTGTGGGAAAACTGGGTGCAGAGTTCAACCTGTGGATTATTTTTAACATTTCTGATGGTTTTTCAGCTGGTGGGAGGTCTCAAAAATGTATATGTGCACTTATTAAATTACCTGGAAATAAGAGTTAAGCCAAGACTAAATTATAATCTCGTTTGTTACTCAGAAATAGGATGTAATTCCCTGGACTCATCCAATATTTAAGAGTAACATACTAGAAAGCACACTGCATGTAAAATAACTTAAGTCTGGCTACTAGACGTAAGTATCAAGTTTCAGATTTCAGCACTTAGATCCAATGAGGATGTGAAATGAGTTGCTTAATTGTATGTTACTCTTAAATATTCGATGAGTC